TTACTATTGTTTTCTTTATAATTGTTTTTCTTACTGCATCTGAAGATATTTGTGTCGATGGTTTAGCTATTACTTTATTTGCCGTATCAAATCCTCAATGGGCATCGACATCTCAAGCTATAGGACAAACATTTGGTCGTTTTCTTGGTTCGTCGTTTCTTTTAACATTTGAATCAGCCAATTTTACGAACAGATTCATTCGTAAACCACTGTCATTACCTTATCAAACAACAGGTTTATTTTCATTAGTACATTTCGTACGATTTGTAGCGGTGGCATTTCTAATTGTTACCGTGTGTCTTATCATATTTGTACGAGAGAAAGAAGAAACATTGGATACTAATGGTACACAAACAAATAATCTATCTCTAATTCAAACTTATCTTTCAATTATAAAACTTTTTAAAAACTTATTAGGTAAGCAGCGTCTTTTAAATTCATCTTCAACAGTTATTTTACCTTTTTTTTTGAAATATTTTCTTTTTAGTCAAGGAGTATCACGAGAGAATTTAGGTCTTGTCAACATACCAGTAACTCTTGCTACACTTATTGCACCTCTGATCATTCTTCATACAAAACAACCTCTCGACTGGTTTGCAAGATCTTATGTATTTTATCTTATTCATGCTCTTCCACTTGCTGCTTACGTCTACTTTACTCCTCGCATGATCTCATTTGGCTATTATTATCCGATACTTATTATATTACTTGCAATAAGTGAATTTATCAAGATGCTACAAACTACCGCCAATTTTGGATTTTTTGCTTCTATCTGTCAACCAGATATTAGTGGCACCTATATAACACTGTTAGTTACTCTAAGTAATTTAGGTTATGCTCTAAATTCATCAGCCGTTCTTTATGCAGCCAACTTATTGCCGAAGAAATATGATTATATTATAGCAGTAAGCGCATGCTTACTTTTGGGTCTTCTATGGTTTTGCCTTTCTTATCAAACTTTGAAACGATTACAAAAGCTACCAGCTTCCGAATGGCATATTAAAAAAGAAACAAATATAAGTGTGGCAACGACATTAGAAGAGCAAGTTCGAAATGACCAAAATATATGATTCCTTATGCACATAGACAAAAAAATAAATGTCTTGTATTTAAAAACTATAGTTGAGCATATAGGAACGAAGATAGTGCATCCTTAAAAAAATATTACAATTGTAAAATCTTGAGTGTCGGTTCATACTTCTTTAATTTTACTTTTGTCTTTAAAAATTATTTACAGAAAATAATAAATATTTATTAATATTATAAAAGAAAATGATTGAACATTTTCTTAACCAATGAAATATTTTTTCTTTCTGAACGTCAACAAAATAGTTTTCCCATCATTAAGAACTTGAGAATGGCATTAAAATTATCATGTTTATCAAGAAAACGAAAACGTTTTAATACAAATCAAACATTATTTGATGATTTAACAAATGAAATTTATTATGAAATATTTGATTATTTAACATATAATGATATAATCAAATCATTTTCTAATTTAAATAATCGTTTTAAACAAATAATTGGAAACTATCCGCATAATATTAATCTTGACATAGACAAAAATATTCCAAAATTTATTCGTTCATTAAAAATAACATTAAATTCTCAATTAGATATATTTAATTCATTAAAAACAAATCAATTCTTATCACTTCGTTCAATAACAATATCGAATTTACGTTATAATGAAATTAATCATATATTAAATAGAATTCCATCAACACAATTAGAATATATTTATATTGGAATATGTGTTAATGATCAAAAAGAAGATTTTTCAAAAGTTTTATCCTTACTACAAATACAAATTCTTAATTTAACTCAATATCGATTAAAATGTTGTCGGTTCAAAGATCAATTTTCGATTCCTATTCAAGATTTACCTGAAAAATTTCCTCAGCTGGAACATTTACAAATCAAATCCTGTAAAAATTTTTCTTATCTTTCACAAATTCTTAATCGAACAACAAAAATTAGATCAATTGATGTTTCAATAAGAGAGTCTTGTCAACAAACATTAGTCATATCAAATCAATATTATTTAACATATCTCATTCTTCGGCCATTTCATGAATGTACAATCGATGAATTAAATCATTTTATTCAAAAATGTTGCTTTTATTTAAAAAAATTAATCATTCAAATATATGTGTATACAGTTAATCAACCAAAATTACTTAATATTAATAAATATCAATGGATAAATATATTTCCAAAACAATTAAATTATTTTTATTTAAAATCAATTCCAACTGCATCAATTCATCTGGATAAAAACTTTTCAACTGAATATTTAGAAACTCCTTTAAATGAAAATATAAATTTGATATCTGATCAAAATCAAGAACATATTTGTCGAATTATAATTGATGGAATTTTAATTAAATATTGGAATAAAGATATTCAATAAGATTATGTATTCAAAGATTTGAAAATAAATAACTTAAGAAGCGAAAATGATTCCTATGAAATAAAATTTGAATATTAGGTTTTTAGCAAGATTTATAAAGCAGAAGCAAATATAAAGTTTAGCGATGTAAACACAAGTCTTTAGCAAGAAGAAAAGAAAAAGGAGACATATCGATGTAAAGGTACATTAAAAACAATTTCTTGATTGATTATAGTTTTGTTTAAGTTTCTAAATATGAGATATCTAAGAGATTGTTCAATTTTATTAGGTTGCTAAACATTGACGCTTGTTTAAAAAAATATTTATAAGTTTAGAATGTGTGTCGACACTAATTATATCTTGATAATTATAATTATTGAAATTAGTAACACTAAGCCATTTGTAACCAAGTTGAGATTCATTTGAATAAATGGTTTGTATAGAGAACTTTCCATTTCCATACCCAAGTAATGCATAGATTCTACATGGATCAATCAAATTAATAATAATATCCAAATGATTATCACCGTTAATATCACCTACAACAGCTGAATGCAAGTTTTGATTAGATTTTATAATAGTTTTTTCATTAACACTAAAACTATTATTTTTATATTGGTATATCATATAAACAAGATCCTTCCAATTAATGTAAATAAAACCAATATCAGATTGATCATCATTATTAAAATCACCAATAACTATTTTAGCTGATCCAACATTACTTGTAGTAAAAAGCCATTTCGGTGGTTGAAATGCTTCATTGCCTTTTCCGAAAAATACATAAATATGTAAAGATTGGTGATTATATACAACAATATCGAAATAATTATCATTATTAACATCACTAACAACTAATCCTCTCAGATCACACTTTACCCCTACAGATAAGATAATTTCTGACGAAAAAGTGGTATTTCCATATCCAAACATCACGTAAACATTACAATCATTTTCACGAATCATAACGATATCTACTTTCTTATCATTATTGAGATCAATTACACTAATTTGTAGCGGACTTTGAGGCATTACTCGAGACAACATGTTTTGTGTTTGAAATGTTTCATTACTATCTCCAAGTAAAATAGTAAAAACATAAATGCGTTCAGTCCAAACGCTATTCTCTTCACCCTGGTGCATAAAAATTAAATCAGATCGATTGTCATTGTTAAAATCAGCAACATGGAGATGTGTTAATGATTTAAAATTTTGAAAAAGGAATATAATTGGTTTTTGAAATGTTCCATTACGATTGCCCAATAATAAAGTCATCTTCTGAGTGAAAGAAAAGGGACAAATGTATATCAGATCGACTTGATTATCATTATTAAAATCTGCAGCAACGCTTAAGACATCTACAGCACAAGACATCTTGGTTGATATCAGTTCAAACTTCGATCGACAAAATGGTTCTAAAAGAAATAAATCGAATTGAATACTATTCGATAGAAATTAACTTGGACATTAAGTTTTGTATAAAATAAATCATTATGTGTGATACACAGATAATCAGAGGACAGGTTGACAAATAAAAGCGATTTCTATCCTGTTTTTTTATTTTACAAGACAGCACAGGACACTGGAAAAGAATATTTATACCCCAGATTTATACATTATTTTTATATTAGCAAAAAAATGCTTCCTTTTGAATTTGTCGAGAGACATGTTGCTAAACCACGGCACTAGGAGAGAATCTCGCAAAATAAAATAATGCAATAATCAGATGGCATGATATGTTTCAAGAGTAGAATATGGATATAGGTGAGAAACGAACATCGCACTCACATCTATCGTTGAAATACTACACCATCTTATTAATGCAACATTTTATCCATATGATATTTTGTCAAGGAGGAAAATGCAAACTTTAAAGCATAAAGTACCATAAAGTACCATAAAGTATTGTAAAGTATCAAAATAGTCTAAAGTAGATAGAAGTAGCAGGAAGTAGCGCAAAATAGCTCGAAGCATGTAAATAATTCAAAGTAGCTCAAAGTACAAAAGTAGCCCAAAGTAAAAAAGTAGTCCAAAATAGATGGAAGTAGTTCAAAGTATGTAGAATTAATTTGAAGTACAAAGTAGTGCAAGGTACAAAAATAGCTCAAAATATGTAATAGCAGCACATGGTGCTTCAAACTAACTCGAAGTAGTCGAAAGTAGCCTAAAGTACCTCAAAGTACCTCAAGGTAGCATAAAGAAGCACAAAGTAGCGTAAAGTGGATTAAAGTCGGTTAAAGTAGCGTAAAGTCGATTAAAGTAGTATAAAGTAGCTTAAAGTAGCTGAAAAGTAGCGTAAAGTAGTGCAAAGTAGCGTAAAGTAGTGCAAAGTAGCGTAAAGTAGTGCAAAGTAGCGTAAAGTAGCGTAAAGTAGCGTAAAGTAGTGCAAAGTAGCTCAAATTCACTTGAAGTGCAAAAGTCTGCATTTTCCCCCTTGTATTTTGTTCATACTTCAATTTTTTTGCAACTATATATTCACGACATTCTCTTCAATTACTATCCAACTGTGATTTTAATTCAATTACTAACCTGGTGTAGTCGAAGATGTTAATATCACCATACTTGCTATTGTATTCAAACTATCATCTTTTGTTGTATCCGTTGCCGAAACTATTGAAAAAAACAAACATTTAAGAATTATTTCATCAAATATCTCTGGTCATTTTTGAATTAAGATTTTTCTTTATCACTTTCATTTCCAAACAAGCTTTCAAATTAGATTTTTTTTCTGTATTTCATTTCAAGTTTTACAATGAATATCAACTGTAAAATTATATTCTTACCATGTTTAGCATAATAAATCGAAAAAATGATAACACCAACGATCAGAAATAGTAGTAATACAATTATCAGAGTTATATTAGAATAACGTCGAATTGGTGAAATAATAATTCCTCTAAAGCAGAGAAATTCAAAATTAAAATAATAAATTAAAAACATCGATGATATACTCAGATGTTATGTTATCAGTTCTTGTAATTTCAACATTTAAAGTTGTGTTATGAATAAC